GGCGCCCAGGCACTTCTCAGTTACAGCGTGTGAAGTGAGAGACACCACCCAAATCATCATCTACAAATGTTTAAAACAGACAATTAAGAAGTCAAAGTTGCCTTCACTACTACTCCTGCTTCTACTAAAATACGTATAGTGAAAATAATCACATACATAGGACAAAATGGGACCTTTCCTGAAGAGTTTTGAAATAGTCTATATCAGAATTATATCTATAAATATGACAACACTGACTAGTACGAGCATCCACAATTTATTAACTAAAAGAGCTCATATTACCGTATTTTCTGAGCTCTGTTATAATGTTGTTTCCTCATCACAAACAGACCTGGAGTTGTGTTTTGTTTCATTCACATGTTTAACAAACAAACTCTGCATATTTAGGTTCTTCTCTTTAACAGAAAACATCTTGTTCCACCTTGTGTCATGTGGTAATTCAGAAAGTGCTCCCGTGTGTTTTTAAACTCCATACACCTTCACAAAAACGTAAAAGGAGCTGTTAACTTGAAAACTACCACTACATGACATCACACGGTGGAACAGAGCATTTTGAGCTTGGGAGATGTATACAGACTAATAATAAAGGGTTACAAGCATGTGGGAATAAAAAAACACAACCCAAGTGTGTTTTGAGGACATTATAACATGTCTTGATGCTCACAAGAGTATATTTGTGTAATCCAGAACCATTAAAATACATCTCAACAATTAACAACTCAGAAATATGTAAAACCTACTACTATTATAACTACAATTACAAGTGCCTCTTTACTACATATTACATACTGTTAAAGGTGCATTATGTAACTTTCTGGGAGGGGGCCCGTCACCTGCTTGTTTCATTGCTCTGCCAGGAATGTTCCACAGTATGACAATAAAGATCTCTGCCTTACATTTATTCAATTACAGGTGGTTTCATAGCTCAAAAATTTCCTAGAAAATTCCTAGAAAAACAGGGATTCTGACTGTGAGCGCAGTCGCCTCTCCACAGATCTGACCTGTAACTTGGTCTGGTTTGGTCTCCATGAAGATAGAAAGGTGTCATACTGTGAAATATTCCAGACAAAGCAATAAGATCTGTATGAAGAAAAGCATCTGATGGTCCCTTCACCAGAAAAGCTACACAATGTACCTTTAACAAAGAATGAACAAAGACTTCATTCTATTAAAGTATAGTAAATAGTAAAGTGTTACCTTATTCTATTTTTTATCTTAGCAGACAGTTAGTCTAATAGTAATTCTGTAGTACTTCACTAGATGTCTCTGTTCTGAATGAGCCAGTGTTAGTGTTGAGTTGTAACCTGTTTCATTGATGGTGTGTAAAGTGCATGTGAAGCGTATACGTCGTGCTTGTTTTGTTGCGTGTATGGCCTCCCTGTGGGCTATTGTTAACCCTTTGTGAGCATTAGAGTGACTGAAAACTGCTGAGTCTGGACTTTGGGAGACAAAAAGCCAGCCATGCCCCAGGTGTATATAAACCCTGGGGTCAGAGAGGAGGCACACAGCAGCTCAGCGCAGTCCAAGTCTCCAGCAGCTCTCCAGCAGCTCCACTAACAGCTAACAGCACCAAGATGTCTGCCACCGACATGAACATGATGAGCAGGGTGAGGTCTCGCATTCTTCACATCCACATATATACTCTACAGCTGAATCAACTCAATGCCAGTGTCATTTGGTTGGTTACTTGGCGATTGACCAATATGGATTTTAATAATTGTACAATTCACAGCAAGACCCACAAACCTAAAATGGATGTAAAATAATGAGTTGTATGATTGTGTAAACATACAGCCATGTTTTGGCCTAATTGTTTTTCCATTTGTATTCATTAGTCTGTTTAAGACTGATCTGATGCACTGAGGACAAACTGATTCCCAGTTTGAGACATAGGCACAAAGATACTGGAGAAGAAATATCTAAGCCCAATATTGTCAAAATGTCTGAGAAACCCCCTTCTGATCCCCTAACTGGAACTGATAAAATGATTCCAAATATTTTTGCTTCTCTCACAGGTTAAAACTACAAACATTTGAAACATAGTTGTATGGCAAATATACTGCTTATAGTTTTGTAAAATAGCAGATACTAAAGCCATGACTGTTTTGTGTTTGTCCAGATTGTCTTCTATGAGGATAGGAACTTCATGGGCCGGTCCTGGGAGTGCAGTGGGGACTGTGCGGACATGTCCTCCTACCTGAGCAGGTGTCACTCCTGCAGAGTGGAGAGGGGCTGCTTCATGGTCTACGACCGCACCAACTTCATGGGAAACCAGTACTTCATGAGGAGGGGCGAGTACGCTGACTACATGAGCATGATGGGCATGAGTGACTGCATCCGCTCCTGCCGCATGATCCCCATGGTGAGCAGCCAATCACAGCACATCTCCAGGTCACATGACTGAGAGAGAGAAGTACACATGTTAAAGATAGTCTAGTTCAAAACTCATGGGTTACCTACAGAGGAGCAGTGTTCACTTTGGCACACAGAAAACAGACTTCTACAGTCTACAGTCTTCCATGTCTAAAAAGTGCAGTTTTAGTGCAGCAGAAAAGTACACAGCTTACATTAGATCCTTATGCTTTTTCGTTCCTATACGGACCCAGTATAACTGTGCTCTTGTGTGTCCCCAGCACCGCGGCTCTTACCGTATGCGCATCTATGAGCGTGAGAACTTCGGTGGGCAGATGTACGAGCTGATGGACGACTGTGACAACATCATGGACCGTTACCGCATGAACAGCTGCATGTCCTGCAACGTGATGGACGGCCACTGGCTCATGTACGAGCACCCGCACTACAGAGGCCGTATGATGTACATGAGGCCTGGAGAGTACCGCAACTTCATGAACATGGGCTTCAGCGGAGGCATGAGGTTCATGAGCATGAGGCGCATCATGGACTCTTACTACTAGAGCTAAAAGACACACTCTACCAATAAAGGCAGCTCTACATGAAACTGCACTCTCTTGTCTGTTTTGTACTGCACCTTCACATGATGATAGTACTGATGAAAAATCTGCCTTAATGTACAAAGGTTTCATGCTTTGTCGAGGTTAAACACACATTTAAGAATATCTTAAACTTCTGCCCTGAATATTTACAGGAGCACCATGCTGTTCATTTAAAGTCAACACAAATGTTAGTGAGTCCTGACACAGTTCTCAAACTGAAGAACACTGGGAGGAATGGGGTCAGTGGGTGATTCTTTCTTTCTTGAGTCCTGGGAACAGGGGTGTCAGGAAAAAAGGAATTTCACATATGATTCCAATCTCTGTAACAAATATGTCAAACCATTGTTAATTGCATAGGTTTGCTACCCTGTGTGGAGTTTGCATGTTCTCCCTGTGGCTGAGTGGGTAACCTCCATATTTACCCTAACAACAAAAAGCATGCACAATACGTCAAACCCTCCTGACCAAGAACCTAGAGTCCCCAAGCACTGCACTGGTCTCATTAAAGCATGGTCAAGTACATACTTTTTGTACAGACGAACAGAAAGTTTGGTTTAAGAAATTCAGATATGCTGCACAATGCTGCTGTGAATGGTTAGGCTCATGAAAATCAACAGCATTTACAATTACAAAGTGATTCTCAATGCGGATTCAGAATCTCTGTGACCTGTTTGTGCTAATTTATCAATAACTACAAAATTATCCCTCTAAATAATCATGTGGCTTTATAACCTGGAAAACAGAGACTCACCTGGATTGTCAGACATCAGGAAGCCTCTGTCCTGACAGTCACAGTCAGACTGTTCTTCAGCCACTCAAAGTTCCAGAGAAAACCTGGAGATGAAAAACATCGTCTCACTCATGAATATTTAAATAAAAATGCCTTAACTTCCACTTTAAGAAGATGCCGAGAGAACTCTTCCAACATGCAAATACGAACACCACAATGCTCATTTACATATACGGCCAATTGCCATGTAACATGTGAATGTGTGAGGGAGAGTGTGAACGAATAAGTCAGGTACCCATTATGCTTCAGGAAGGATTTAAAATGTCCAACCACAAATCAACAAATAAAGAAATGCTTTCATGATATTTATCCATGAGCAACAGACTCGTGATAAATAGTGAGGGAGGTGGGCTGGACAGTGGGGACACATGAGCGTGCTCTGGTCAGTGGAGGTGATTGGGGTCTTGGCGCCAGCACGATGACTAGGCACAGGCCTGTAGCAGTGGTACAAATGGAGAGCACTGGTGCGGGGACAGACTGAGGCTGACTGCAGCGTGTATAATGTCTGTTAGACCAAATAGAATACATGCTCTACAAAACTCCTCATAAATGTCACTGGATCACATAATATCAGAGTAAAATAGTAGAATTAAAATTTTTGTTCTTAAGAGTGCTCCTGACTGTTCATAGGATTTGTTCTTAACACTGTCAGTAAAGAAAACATTTTGTGATTGCAAAAAATATTAGTAAGAACGCTTGAAGTACAAATTTGTTTGTAAGAATTCTTCATGAATGAGGCCCAAGCAGGACTGTAGACTCTCTCAGTGTTATTCTTTGTTTAATAAAATATGTGCCTCCAGTCCCAGTAAGTGTCAGTAATGGGTCCCACAAACACTGAACTCCATCCCAACATTATAACATAAGGACAGATCTAACGTAAAGACAGGTCTAACATAAGGACATGTCTAACGTAAGGACAGGTCTAACGTAAGGACAGGTCTAACGTAAGGACAGGTCTAACGTAAGGACAGGTCTAACGTAAGGACATGTCTAACGTAAGGACAGGTCTAACGTAAGGACATGTCTAACGTAAGGACAGGTCTAACATAAGGACAGGTCTAACATCAGGACAGGTATAACATAAGGACAGGTCTAACATAAGGACATGTCTAACATAAGGACAGGTCTAACGTAAGGACAGGTCTAACATCAGGACAGGTCTAACGTAAGGACATGTCTAACGTAAGGACATGTCTAACGTAAGGACAGGTCTAACATAAGGACAGGTCTAACATAAGGACATGTCTAACATAAGG